GAATAAGAAATGTCATCAACCTTATTTCTTTACTGTTCAAAATTCAGAAAACATGAGAAGCTTGTTTAGATCCCTTGTAAATAATCAAACTCGTGTATCAAAGTTTGTTTTGTATGTAAGATATGATAAATAGACTCTTGTAGCAGATGAAATTTCAGTCTGTCTAATAAATGTATAAATGACATTAACATTTTCTATTGGTATGTAAAGTATAGGTGAATCCATCTCCACCTACTGTGGTATTTTGTACCAACATGAAACTCTTGGTATCTTGTTTTACAACATTTTGACATGTTATAAGATGTTCATATTATGTATAAAATGTAAATTAATATTTATTAGAAGCATCCCCACCCTCCTCCTCTTCTTCATCAGGTGTTATACATGTGGAGCTAATTTGAAAATGTTTGGAATGTCAATGAATCTACATTTTCTGTTTGAAAGACTGTCAACTTTTCATTTTAAAGGAGCTCCATAGAGGTCCAGAAGGCTCGAAAACATAAGTTTGAAATTCTTAAAAAGATCAACCTTGGCACTTTAAATTCTTGTGCCATTCTTAGTCCAGTTTGAGTTATAAGTGTTTCAATGCTTTTCATTTTGGGGTTAATTTTTCACAATGAAATGATTATTCTTGAAAAAGAGTGAGTGAATGATCTGAAAGTTTGCAAATGTTATTTGTGCATACCATCATAAAATGGTTTACAAATCTCAACAAAATATTTTCAGGCCTGTCATTTAAAAAAAAACTCAGTGGAGTCCCTTTAAATGATTTAAAAGGTTCAGAAACCTGATGAAACCTTCCGTTGAGTGAAATAATGCATAGAAACACACCTGTGCTGTTCCTGACACCAGTAAAAGATCGAAAGTGGCAAGATGACATTAATGTTATTGTATCAATGTAACTTAGAATCCAACCCCTTCCATCACCGGAACACCAAAAGAAAATGAATATCAAACCTACCACAGGTAAAAGACTATAAAACTTGTAGGTTGAAACCTTAATTCTATAAAAAAAATAAAGAAAGGCATGTAAGAAAAAAAAGGTGTACAGGTTATGACATCTCTGAGTCTGTCTTGTGATAAAATCAGGTAAGAAACATCAAAAAGATTACACAATCATAAAAGTCAAACATCTCAGATTTAGTGTTGTTTTTTAGTTGACAACATGGTAATCTACATGATATCTTTGAGATATGTTGTGTTTACTGAAGATGTTTGTTACCTGAGTTCTAGAGTGTTGGCAAGAAAGTTTTGTTTTTTTCTGTCCTTTTTTTCAGTCCTTTTTTTTTTGGTTTAAGGCCATGTCAAAGTAATGTTTTCCAGCAATATGGTACACAAATGCTTGGTTATTCCCATATGATTTCGCCACAAATTCTGCCAAGTTGTCACATTTCTCCAGACTTGTCTCTAATTTAGACTTGCCATCAGTTTCCCTAGAAACAGCTACTGTGACTGTAAGACAAGTTTTTGAGAAGTATTGTCTGTTTAACACCCATATCTACTGATTACTTTGGAACGGAATTAAGTGTTATGTACTATTACATTACTAAAATGCTTCGGAAAACATTTTAGTTGTGTTATAGGCAGAGCATCCATTAACATGTGAAATTTGGTTACTTTTCTTTTCACCCTTTACATTCTCAGGTCTATAATTGCAGACTTGTCACCTAGATAGAGATGAGCAAATCTTCACTTCTGCCAAAGAGGACAATATGGGACACATTGTTAATAAGCCAGAAACAAGGCCAAATTATGTTGTCAGATGAACTGATGATCAAATTCCTCATGGAAATTAAATCCCATAACTTCACAAGATTCAATTTGCCAGTGACATTTAACTTTTTGTCAAGTCATCAGTTTCCATTAATTTTGCTGCACTGGAAATAGAAAATATTAATAGATGTGAATTATTTTAGTAAAAGAATTGGTGACTATTATCATAACACAAATTTGTTTGAGACTATGGCATGCATTTGGTGAGAATGTTTTGTTGATACTGCTACATATGTATAGAACTATTCTATTGTTTCTTGGAATAATTACTGCCTTCAGGGTAAAATTAATACATTTTCACTGCACTGTTTGTGTTACAACACATAAAACTAATTCTTGCTGAAAGCAAAACTTATTAGCTCAACATCAATTCACTTTATTGCATTAGTTTTAAATTTTAGTAAAGTAAATTTTGTCTTCTTCTTTATGTGGAGTTGACACCCAATTCTTACGCACCTAAACCCAATTCTTACGCACCTAGATCTAATTGAATTTTAAGTTTTGAAATTTAATTTCCCTCCTGTCTGGAATCTTGCGCTACTTTTTAATGTCTGAGAAATAAGTTTACTTTAAGAGGTGTTATATGATTATAAGAAAGCACATTGGTACTTAGGGTTTAAACAAGGAATGTAGGTCACGTTTTGCTTGAATTAAGGTCAAGACAAGTTTAAACAAGGAATGTAGGTCACGTTTTGCTTGAATTAAGGTCAAGTTAGCATTGTTAGACAGCATACTGTACAAGGCAAGGTCTGCTTTTAGCGCCACTATTTTTATTTGTTTGGGTCGTCAGACCAAACAAATAATGGTAGCGAAATTTCAGACTCTGATGCTGTTAATTGCAAGTGCCGAAAGTAGTCCGCTTTTTTGAAGCGGTTAATTCCCTTTATATGTACACTAACGCCGAAAAATTCAGGGGAGATCACTGCGTAATGATGGTCAAATGACAGACGCATTAATTTTCAAGCAAAATAGTTCCCGAATGGTCGAAGATTTTTAATATTGTTTTATTCATTATAGATATACATGGTTATAGTAAGCTCCATGGTAATTTACATCTGTGTTAAACAACAGTTAGCGTCGTTAAAACCCTAATTTAGAATAAAGAATGGTTTTCTTCAGGCTGTTAATATATAATTTCACTGTGGCCGAGGGATTTGCGCGCTCGTTTAGGAAACGAGAGGTCTGGAGTTCAAATCCCAGTTAAGGTAACTCTTTTTTTTCAAATTGTTCAAGTCAAACAAACATTGAATTGAATATCAGTGTTGCAATTAGTCTTATAGCCAATTTACTACAATTAAAACACTGAAAAGCATTGGTGGACCTATACAAAAACAAATTGGTTTATAATCTCACAACCTTCACCTTTCTGACATTCTGACCCCCAAACAAATTCAGCGCCTTCTGTGCTTTGATTTAACATCTGTGCTACAATTCATTGTAATATTGAACTGGCAGCTTTCCTGACATTATAATGCTTGATAGCAACAGCTAAGAAAAAATCCCTATTTTCAGTACACCTGAAAGCAACTGCCATATTATTTTAAGTCAGTACTGTTATAGAGTTCAGATATAAAGTTATTAGAAAATGTTCCCAGCTGGTGTATGTGGCTGAAATTCTGTAAATCCTCAACCTGCTGGAACCTGAAGTGGTATAAGCCTTGGCACAGGTACCAAGTCAGACCAGCCTGAACATCCAGGCAGTCTGACCAAGCTCAATACCTTTGGCTAACATGAAATTTTCAACTTTATATTCTCTGAAAATGATATTGCACAGATCCAAAAATGACAGCAGGACAAATTCATTTAGAGCTCATCAACTTTGCTAAAACTGATACCAAAATAGAGAAAAAATCTTCAAAATCGTAATCAGATTCATCACCTGCAACTGTCTTTAACAGCAAGTGTATCTGATCCCCTCATCAATTTGCATCTATAAATCTATGAAAGCTTGCGACTTTTCCATAAGCCCTCAGAAATAGCAGATGCTCTTTATTGTGATAAGATTGACATATATACTAAATACTATCTTATATGGTGTTTTGTGGTAGACAAAAATAAGGATCCTACTGGGATTTGAACTTTCTAGCCTATCCTTTGCTTTAATGCATCAAGAGACCAAAGTTATATGTTATGGAGGGTATATCCATGTAATACAAACTCTTCGTCTCTTAATTCTTACTTGATATATTCAGGTGTATTTAAACATTAACCATTAAATAACTATGAAATAAAACTATAAAAAAAATGAATTTGTAATGCTGCCTTTGTAGTAGTATGCCATTAATGGTTTATTTTCAACAATGAAGATGTACTATTAACGTATATTTCAAGGCAAGGTATTAAAATTAGAAGTGCGTGTATTTTACAGGAAACGGGCTCGTGTAATTACGATTCACTCGAAGCAAGTGCACTAGTAAAGCCTTCAGGGCGAAATTATGATGAGTTTGTCATTTTGAATAGTTTACGACCAGTAGAGATTAAGGGATGTCCGTGCGTTTTTATTTATTTCAATAACTACTAGGATATTGACTATCTTTGGTCTTGGGGTTTTACTTTATACTTTAGTGAGTACGGCAATGATTTAATAAGATTTCAAGATATAAAATTTAGATATTCAAGGATAATACAGTATTGGATTTATACACTTTGATAGTTTTTAGTGAAAGTGTTGAAAGTAAACAATAAACCCCATTGAATATAAGTTATAGTTTTATATAAATCATCAAGGATTTATGCTGACTTTATGAAGAAACAACTTTTTTTTTAATAAAATGAAGAAACTTTGCCAAAGTGTAAGTTAAGAAATTTAAGCACTACATAATAAAACTGCATGGTGTAATGCTAGTGTATATGGTGAAAAATAAATTTCATTAAGTGAAATTGTGGAGGTGTTAAATAATCGTTGAAAAAAAGTCTGAATTTACATGGACATAGTGAATTTTGGTTTTTAACTTATTGTTTTTATAGAGTAAATTAGTTCTTTGAATTAAGGGGAATCATTGATTGTAAAGCCATACTGGTTTAAAACTTAAACCCTTGGATTGTCACACATTGGATGGACCCTTATCGGTCTTCTATAAGAAAATTTTAACTTATGGAAGAAAATGAAGGTGAAGCCATATTAATTTATATTATGCATTTTTTTACGGATTAAATCAGCTCTTGAGAAGCAATGAGATTGAGTATATATATGTGTATATAAAAATATACATATCTAAACTGTTGTGATAAAAGTTATAATTCATCTGTTTATTTGAAAACTGTATCATTTTACAGATGTGTATGTATTAAAGTCAGGTGTGCTAAAGAAAGGATTTTTCCCCTCCAGATGAGATGTTTTTATGATTTCAAGACAGTTTTTTTTTGCCACAAAGTGATTCACAGACTGTGACCATAGCTGGGTTGTTGTTGTTGGTTTTTTTTCTTATCAGAGACTAAAACGCATGAATGTTTTTTTTTCTTGAGTACCATTCTTAAGGATGAGTTTTGTTGCCGTGGTATCCAGAACATAGACTGGTATACATGTGTGTTCATCGAAGCAGCTGTTTTATCTATCTAGTCTCTTAGAAGTAGAAAATTATGAGGTATACCAGTCTGTTCACTTGCTTGAGGCTATAGTTAAACACAGTTTTCATGCTAATGATTATTTTCGAGCTGGAGAAATAGAAAATAATTTACTGGGTTTTAAGAAACTTTATGACCAGGAAATAATCACATCATTGCCATATTAACAATAACTGTCGTAAGTTTACAAATCTATTACATCAAATTGGAAAATTTGCAGGTATTGAAATGTGAAATGCTACTGGGAAAAAAAAGCTGAATGATACAATTTTGTGAATAAACGGCGGAATAAATATCATTTTAAATTTTTTTTATTGAAATTCTATATTAACAATAAATGGATAAAGTGGCTAGACATTATTGAAATTTTCACATTTCAAAGTGGATGAAAAGGAGGTTATATCAATTGGGAGTCTTTATAAGGATCTTCCTTTATTTGATTGACCTGCGTTAACCTATCTGATTTCAACAACGGAAAAAATTAATGAAAAAGAGAAAATTGTTACCTGTGAGAAATTCTGCAAACCAAAATATAAAGACAACTTGAAACTCATTGATTTTGAGGTGCAATTTTAGTAGGTTTAGGGTTTTTTTGTGGTGATGTTTTTTTTATCCTCGTTACTTTTTCTCGACAAATTGTTTGTGTTGCCTGTGAAATAGCATTGCATGAGATGGCAGGATACTTAGAGGATTAATAATATACAGTAACAGAACTAAAACAGCTGATTTATCAGGCATTACCGCAGGTAGAGTTGCTCATTTGCATATATTACCCAGCAGCCTTTTAGTTTGTTCAGATTCACTAGGAGGGTTTTTTTTTACTACATTCTGAAAAGTTGCCTTTCTGAAGATTTTGAAAAAAAAAGTTTATACTGTGATTTTGCTATATGTAACAAAATTGAAGGAAAAAAAAGGAAAGAAATTCTGGATACATGTGTTCTTTAGATTAAACCAGATTTATTATGGAAATCGTTTATTTGAGATGTAAGTAGAAATTATCAAAAGGAAAAAAAAAACTTAAAAGGAGTAATTTTATATTGTTTAATTTATTCAAGTAACATTTTTGTTTTGAATGAAGTGAATGAAAAGGATGTTGAATTCATATCATACGATGGGTAGATTGCCTAAAAAATGGAATGTATAAACCACAGAACTAGTTTGGATGCTACTTGCCAAAATTTAAAACTCTGGATTTTCTTGCTCTTAAATTACAATGGATTTTATGATACTAAAGGTAAGTTTCACTATTTCTTTTTTTTTTTAATTTTCTTCGCTGAAATTACACACGATAAATTAATATAAAGTCCATACATGGAAAATATTTTGGGTATTAATTAATAACGTGTCATGTAGTTTGTGTGTTTTTTTTGCTTTAATTACATGTATACCACATTCTTAAATAATATCGTCTTTTTCTTTTATAATTTATAATTGAAATGAAAAGTTAATAATAGATCAAGGTTGAAGAGATTGATGGTCCCCCTTTTTTTTGCCGTTTGCATAATTTCTAGATTTTTTTTATATATATAAACATTCTGTCTGATATTAGATTGTATTATATTTGAACATTTATATTATGTAAATCAGTCCATTGCAACAGTATCAGTATACCCCAGGTAACAATATAACCACAGTTTTTGTATCACAGTGAAACATTCTTCATGTCACCAAAACATCAAAAGCGTTTGGGGTTTAAAGGTGAATTTTATTTAGAAATTGGTAATAAAATCTTAATATTGATGATCATAAAGATTGTATCTATATTGCTTGGTAAATAAAGTGAAAAATGGTGGATTGGGACGCCGATCATAACGTTTTGTCATACACCTTGCTCTTTTCATAGACTAAATTGTCAAAAGAGATTTTCTCAAGGAGCTTATATTGTTTGCCTTTTCAAAAGGTTTTTATACAATTATTACCATAATGGTCACTGTTTTACAGCATTCAAGATGAGATTGCATTTTTTTTTCAATAAGTTTAATGTGAGAAGTTTGTAAAGGTATGGAAATATAGATGGTTGGTGTAATTTTGTAAATTTATTTTTACAAAAATCAAGCAGAGACAGATGAAAAAGAAAATGAGTCAAGTCTTTTGGATTCAGAAAGCAATAATTATCTAGGTCTAGCCCTTCACTTACTTGATCTGAAAGTGATAAAAATGGCTGAAAGTACTGAAAAGTCATTTTTGAGCAAAATGAAAGAAATGAAAAAAGCATATAATTGCCACAGTGCAAATCTTTTGTAGCTTGCCTATTGATCAAATATATGCATGGGGTAAATGTTGAAGTTCTTGTTGCCCAGACCATTGGATGGCACTATAATCTCTCTCTATCAGAAATACTAGTTTATTACATAGGTCCTGTCAAGCCTAGTTAGCCCCTTATCACTGAAAATATCTGCTACAGCTGCCCATTGTGGTATATTATCACCCAGTAGGTGACCCCAGATTACATATCCCCTGGCATGTGATACACTGTGATAGCATTATCACATGCATTGTTATGATATAACCCCAATTATCATCGCCATAATGGACAGGCTAGAAAATTATTACTGCTGTTTATTATGAAGTGAATAGTATATGTGAGCAGAGTTTATCAATTAACCTGTTAATGGTCAGTGCCTAACAGGCATCTGAGAACATTGTACTGTACTGTAGTTCTAGTACATTAATTAAGTCTTCTGACCAATATAGTTTCCTTTTTTGTGTATTCCTGTTTACATGTAGAAAAATTTAGGGTTGGAGCCATCCATCTGGTCTGGAGTGATGAAAACTAATATTTGAAAAAAATTGCTGACTTAACAAAGTTTTATTGTGTCTGTTCATGAGAGATATCGGAGAAGCAACATTTATCACACCCTCAATAGCACCAGCCTTTTCCTCAACACTAAAAGTTTCACAACCAATAATCCTAAAGAGGCAGAAGGAAAATAACAAAAGACTGCAGTATAATCTACTATTGTCAACTACCAGTAACATTTTACTCCATTTTTTACTGAAAATGTATCAGGAAATAAAATGAGTGATCAAATTATCTTGAGTTTTGTTAAGATTTCATTAGTGTTTTTAGAAAAGAAGTGATTTTAGCACTTAGGCATTGAGAAGGTTAACCAAACTCTCTTATTATATGTTTTAATTAGGAAATATAATTTGGCAGTAAAGATTTCCTGTTAACCAGACTAATAATATTCGAACAACTTTCAGAGACATAGTTCTTGTTTCACAGAAACACTGGGTTATTTTTGGAAATAGTAGAGACTAACCACTCCTTCCTGAATAGTGACCTCTACCTGATCTGTATCAATTTGATTCCATATGGAATCTGTATTTCTATTGAATCATTTGTAAAAATACCTTGTTTTGTTGAAATGGTTGCCAAATTTTGTCCCAACAAGTGATAACAAGTTGCCAATGTTCCAAAAAGCTTGAACAGAACATCCAACATAAAATTGGGCTTGATCATGATTTTATATGCATACTCTTGGTCTGTTGGAAGGATCTAAGTTATTTGAATGCATAATTTTCTGAAAGGTAACTCATCTAGATCAAAGAGAAGCTCCACAAGCTTCTGATTGAGACTGAAGAGCACTTGAAGTTACAGATACTGTAAGTTCCAATAAAACTGTAATCAACTTCTTCATAACTGCAATATTAGGAATTTGTCTGAAAAATCTTTTTATGCGATAAGAAAATTTATTGCCTAAGTTTAGGTGAAACAGCTTGGCACAATTTTTTTTCAAATTAAATTTTTATAATTTGGACCAGCAATTGATAAGAATTAACAACCCTTTTGTCTGGTTACTCAGGTAGCATGGTGGTCAGTAACTTCTTTTTGATGACCCAAAGATTAAAGACTGGTGTAAATTTGTAATAGCAGTTGTTAACTTTTCTCACAATATTTTTTCATCAAGATAACTATAGTTTTCTTAGATCCAGAATACTCTCCAGTAAAGGGAGGTGCAAATGTTCTTTTATCATGATTTGCATTGTTTCAAGTGTGAAAAGCAATGTATGATGTTTGTACAGCTCATACATCATTATTGACTCTAATGAGGGGAACAAAAATTCTATGCCATGGATGCCGATAGGTAGAAACTTTTTCCAGGTTTCTGTAGAAATTTTTTTTTGTAATTATTATGAGTAATTGTTCAAGATTTTTAGAAACTTAAGATATTGTTTCCCTCTTAAGCAAAATGAAGTCCTTGTCTGGTAAAATTGGTTATTGTTTTCACTTAGCTATTGATAACATTTCTATAAGCAACTATTGAGCACAGTAAGTTAGGCTCAGCAAAAAATATTTTTGACGCAATTAAGATCTTTGACTACCAAAATTCAAAATTTTACTGATTGGATATTTTTCAAATACGTTCTTCAAATTGACTCATTCCGTCTTGTAGGGTCTGTTTCTGTTGCAATTAAAGCTTGATTAAATTGTGTGCAATATGGGCTTAATTTATGAGGGTCATTTAAATGTTAATTGTAATTGGTGTAAATAATGAATTACATGGTATGAATTTAAGTATTTACATTATCTGGGATTTAATTAAAGGAGCTTAAATTACTCAGTCTGTATGATTCACAGTCGCTTAAGGAGTTCTGTTCAATATGTGTTTTTCAAAATTTGCAACTTTTTAAGCTGCAAGCCATATACAAGAACGTTAAAACTTGGTCATAGTAAAAATTGTTCATGTTTACATATAATGTTTTTAATAGGGAATACAATTTTTTCTATTTTATATCAATTAACTTATGATAATTGACCTTAGCTTTTTTTCCTTTTTAATTACTATAACTTTTGTTTTATTCAAGGTTACAAATTTAGCTTATGCCATAGTTTAATGAAAAATTGTTTTGATAATAAAATTGTTATTAATTAATCTTTTACAAAGAATTTTAACGCAATTTAAGTCAATTCAAATGGTTATAAAATTAACTGTTTTCACCATTGCAATAGATCATGCTTTAACCTTTAAAGACAGAATTTTGTGCAACAGTAAAGGTATGATTAGCAATAAGACAGAGGAGTAACTGACTGTAGAGTGTCAAACAGCATTGTTCTTTTGGCATTGTACCGTTACTGTATCAAATTGTGTTTTCATACTCTTGCCTCCTCTGGCATGCATTTTCCCAAGCATGCATGACCAGACCTACTCACATCAAACATGAGCCAAATGCTTGACACACAGCGTCCTGTTGTTTTTTCTTGACTGACAGTAATAAACGGATACAAGTGAAACTGACATGCTGGGGGCCGACTTGACACAGATTAGAAAATGCTGTGAAAAAATTACACACTTGAGTGAACATATAAACCATGGTAGCCAATGTTGCTTTGCAGTGTTATGCCAACTGCATAAGCTTTCACTCAGCATTGCTGATTTACAGTTTTAATGGGCAGAGCGTATGGCAGATTAGATATCAGTGTCATGAATAATTTGTCCTAGTCCAGGCAAATCGTGTTTCCTGAAATTCTCTGCAAAAGCATTATAGGTTCTAGAATGACAGAACACACCCACAAATACAAAAACAGCCACATGGACATATTTTATTAGTCAAACTTCAATAAAATTTTGTCAGTTGAAATTTGGAAACATTCTGTGAACATACTGTGGACTCTTACTTATTTTCAGGAAGGATTTAACATAAAAGTGTCAAAGTGGAATGGTACTGTAATAATTAGAAGAAAACAGCTTTCACTTTCAAAATCAGTGTAAAATAATACATGTGGTTTTCAGATGTGTTTTTGCTATAACAGGGGATGTGTCAAGGGTCAGGGGTGTGGATAATTCTATTTAACCTCTTTGACATGTCTTTCATGTTTATTTACTGTAGTTAATCCAAGAAAATCTTTACCACATGTCCTTTACAATCTTGTCACTGTTGTGGAATGAGGATCTCTCATGCAAACAACACCAGCAACACGTGCTGACCAGGCTTTTACATGTTCAGGACTATTTTTGCTCATTCCAGTTACTTCAGCAGTCATTTATTGTTCAGATTTTTTTGGACATTCTTGCTGGGAGGGCACTTCGGATACTTTATGCTTATCCAGGTGTGATGGAAAATACTTTAGGATTATTCAGGGTTTCATAAGGACTTGCATGATTTTTGCTGAAGTTATTGATGTGTGTGATTTTTTTCTGTCATTTTTTTTCTGTGGGAAAAAAAATGATATACCTTTTGGTAAGTTTTAAAACATTTTCCAAATCAGAGGTTTCAGGTTCAGTAACAAAG